CATTCAACAATACAGAAATCATATCAAAGAATCCTCCAACCTCAAAATTCTTTTTGGCAACAGCTACAACAACCAGTTGAAGTTGGTGAGCAAAGCAATGGACATAATAAGCTGAGGTGTTTTCCCTTAAAATCAATGACCGTAATCCATTGTATTCACCTTTCATATTACTTGCCCCGTTGTAACCTTGCCCTCTTAGCTTTTTCATACTCAACCCAAGCTTAGCAAACAAAGAGTCAATAGCTGATTTCAGATATGCTGAAGATGTCTCAGCCACATGTATAATGCGAATAAATATTTCTTTGACGATCCCACTTTTATCAACAAACCGAAATACTACAGCCATTTGTTTTTTTATCGGAAACATCAGCAGATTCATCAACCAACAAACCAAAAACATCATGGTCAATTTCTTCAATAATATATTTGATTACCTCTTCTGCAAAGCAATGCGCAATATCTTTCTAAATCTTTGAAGACAACATCTGATTATTTCCAGGAGCATTTTGTAAGACAACCTTACTCACAACTTCATTTTGTTCAGCAGTGTATTTCAGAAGCTCCACAAAATTTCCTCTATTAGCAGATGTTTCTGACTCATCATGACCATGTAAAGGAAGACCTTGTCGCAACAAATATCTAGAAACGTCAAATGAAGCATTTAACCGGATCCGATACTCATTTTTGGTGATATCATCCTGCTTATGTAAAGCATGCTTAATAGACTGACCTTGTCTCATCAAGTTTTCACATTTCATAACTGCATTATTATGAAAGCTATTAACCTGCCCCACATGCTCTGCAAGCCTACTAAACTTGTTCCAACTAGAAAACCCTTGGTTCGTCCATGCATCAGTTTTTCCACCTTTTCCGTTAGTATCTCTAAACAAGTAACAACATAGACAATACGCAGCGTCTTTATTAACACTATACTCTTACATGTTCTTATACTGATCAAACCAAGCAGGATTAAATCGCCTCATTGTGCCTCCCATCATTTTTTGTTTAAAGATATGACCACAAGGTTGACAAGGACCTCTAATCAAATATCTACGAATTACCTCATCTCTTTTATTTGAAGGATATTTAGATATTTTTTTCGATCATCAGGATCCCATGGTAAATCATCTACATCCAGTTTGTTTACATCACATTGAGACGAAGATGGTTCTTTTTTTTTCAAATTCAAAAACTTTTCCATTGCTTGAGCTGAAAATACAAAATATATTAGTAAAAGAATATAAATATATAACATACGCAGAAACAAAAAAAATCACGTCTTACTAGTAACTTTCATCTATAAACTATAGAAAAGAAAACTCAGTTGAGTGTTTTGAAAAATTAACAATTACGTAGAACCAAATTGTTGTTAAATACACAAATAATATAAAGTTAATAAAATACAATAACATAAAAGCTTAACTGTAAAATATGAACTTACATATCACTCAAAAAGTCATGATGGATTTGGAGAAGACAAGAAAGTTGAAGAGGCAATAGAAAAAGATTGAAAAAAATTAGGTCAAGTGTTAAAAGTGTTTAATAAACAAAAACTTAAAAATTTCCTTTTTTAGTTAATGGATCACCGATACATTCTATTGGTTTGATTTTGTGGGTTCAAATTAATAAACAATAGAAAAAACAGATTCTCTAATTGTGCTTTTTCTTTTGTGGGTTCAACGTAACAAATTTATGTGGGTTCACAATAATAAATTCATACAACTAATAAAGAATTTTTTTTTTGAGGTGTCAGCTGACCCCACCAGCTTGAACGTGGATCCGCCTCTGACAATAAGTGCATGCATAGTGTAGTTTATGTTGCAATTAGATTTTCATTTTGTGAACTGAAATAAAATGGTGAAATTGTTTATTATATGGGTTTAAAAAAATTTCAATTGTCAATCTATCAATTCCTCGAGCAAAACCAACACTTCAAAATATATTTCATTTCGTTGATGATGAATAAGAAGTCTATGTCGTTTGATACCTACCATAACAACATGAGGCTCATGTAATAATAAGACTGGATCTCTCATCTGATTGATGAATCTTGGCTCATGAAATAATAAAAGTTGGTCTCTTATCCAATTCATGAATCTTGTCTTTTTATCTGCTGAATTATTGATTGTTTTCTATATGTATTGATAAATTTATAAGTTTATGATGTCATTGGCGTTGGGTACATGATAGTTTTTCATATTACAAGTTCTATAAACTTTACTTGAGTGAATTGTTTAATAATGTCATATTAAATGAATTATGTATTTGTTGTTATATTGATCTATTAATTCCTCAATAAAAATATAGAAACATATTTACAGTTTTATGGTTAATATAAGCATTTTCAATGTAAAAGAAGCCACTCTATAATTACAATATACTAGGGATGACTTGATGGAAATTTATACCTGAAAAAATATTAGTGTAAAGATTTAATAAGATTCAAACCATAGGCTATTATTCAACCATTAAAGCGATCCGTTTACAATATTAATACTTGACCATTACTAAATATATTGAAAAATGTGGAATGTTTATACATTTTTGTTTGTCATTTTGAGGTTAAAGATTTCAGTCTTGACAAAAGTGGTTGAATCTATACATTAAAACTAATTTGTATATGTATATGCTTTTATAAATTTCAGTCCCAGATTTTGAAATGAAACATTAACACTTCTAAGAGAATGGTATAATTCACATTAAGTTAACTTAAAAAGATTTATGTTCAACTATGAATTCATTACGAAAAAATCCAAGTAAGCTCATATACAAAAATCTAAATCATAAAAAAATACGTATGACTTAAGCAAGCAAATACCAAAAGCTTTGTTTATTTTCTATGTAAGTTATTTATTGATTTGGTTAAGTTTTTTTGGTTAAATTATCTGGTTTAGAGACTGTTATTGGTTTGAGATTTCAAAATAGTTTGATGGTTTTAAAAATTAAAGAATTTACAGAAATTTAAGATTCTTTTAAAATTTTGTTGAAGAATTTTGTAGATTATAACAAATTCTTTAGCCAAAGATAATTACAAACTTTTATAGAATCTAAACTATTAATACTGAAGTATATTTTGTACTTAACCCTGACTTTTTCTAAACAATCAGCATTGCATGCTATTGACGTATTAACACTTAAATCAAACCTTCTAAATTTAATTTAAATAGTTAACCAAGCATTACATCTATACCACACTTAAAATGAACCATCGGCTTTAACCGAATTGCTCAATGTAATCAAATTTAAATACTCACTAAATTTTGACTCGTGCGCCAGCGCGAGTGTTTATTTAAAAAAATTACCTAAACATTTCAAACACAAAAACATAATAGTTTCAGGATAGTTTCATATGATGATTTCATTTGTTGGATTTTAGTTTATTATTCATACCATAAATTACTTTCAATGTTTTTGTATTGTGTTATATATTTTTCTTATTGTATGCGTGTTCAATTATTTAAACAATTAAATTGGGTCAAAATTTGTAACTGTGTTTTAATATACCCTGCCACTAATTTATTTTTTGTAAATAGATTGTATTAATTTAAATTTTATTTTGCTCTCAACAAATTTTTATTGTATATATGTATTTTATTTAAAATCTGTATTGGCCAATTTTTACCACATAAATTAAAAAAAAACAAACAGAAATTTGTGCATAAAATAAAGTATAGTGTAAAATTTTTTTAATATGAAAGTTAATTTTATATTTAACAACATTGGCAACTCGTTAATTGCCCAAGATTTTTATTAACATTAGGCTATAGTAGTTTATTTCATCATTAATTAATCAATAAATATATTAACATATAAAAATTTAAGAAAATTGCTAAAACTAGCACATTCATGATACACTATTTCACTTTTACATTAATCATATATAACCTTAAAATTTTGATAGTCAAAATACTATAGTAACCTTAATTAATCAAACATAAACCTATTCTTTCTCCATCTCTTTTCTTCATTGCTCGACTAGATTTTGACAAGTCCGGCGAGATTCAACGACTCCGACAAGATTTGGCGATCCCCCCTGTGTGATTTGACGAGACATTCGTTTATTCCATCGAGATTTGACGATCCCCCGGCGAGTTTTGACGATCCCCCGGTGTGATTTGACGAGACATTCGAGTATTCTCCGACGAGATATTTGAATATTCCATCGAGATTGAAGAAGCTCACGAGATCTACGCCCAGATTTGAAAAAGTTTACATCAATCGAACATGACTATCGTTGGGACGAATGCAGTAGAAACAATGGCAAAGGTACAATGATTTTTTAGCTTGATTTCTTAATCTCGTCGAAGAGCATGTGCATAACTGGGTGTTTAGTGCTGTTCTCGACCAGTTTCTGGGAAGGAAACGAATATTTTTTCATGAATTTTATAAATCTCTTATTTATAAGACATTATAAATATTTATCGACGAAGATTTTATGTTTCACGTTACTATGATTGAAATTTGTGCTGTTTGCGGAGAATGGAAACTCGTAAATGGAAATCACTAGGATTTCATAACTGATGATGAACTAGGATCTTCTATTAGTATGATTCCCAAAGATATGAGGTTCAATTATTTGGTTGGGTATTTGTTAGAAGATTTTTTGTATTGACTCCAACATAATTGGTGTGAAGCTTAGCTATGCGTCTCTTTCAAAAGTAAACTTTGGAAGTAAAGATATTCCTCCAGTGTTTATCAGGAACGATCGTCATGTTTCAACATATCTGAATAAATTACAACATAATGGAGGTATTCATCTATGTTTAACATTTAAGGTAAGTACACATATTTTGTTATAATAGTTATCACTATTTTAAAATGTAGTAGATAGTTATCACCATTGATTGTATCAAATATGATTCAGACACACGATGAAGTTTCTTGGATGTAGTAATCTCCTTGGGGTATTTTTTTACAAATTTTATATTAATAACGCCTTATAATTCTATTTTACAAGATTACAATATGTTATGTTTCAGAAGGGAACACAAATTTTACCAATGATTGCGTCAAATATGATTCAGACACGGGATGACGTTTTGATTTCTCATGTTTTGCCTATTGCTGGAAATAGTAATCCGCTTGAGGTATATATTACAACTTTTATATTTAGAAAGATTTATAGAACTATTTTACAAGATTCTTTACTAGTTTTATGTTTTTATGTTTCAGAGGGAAACACAAATATCCCCATCGATTGCATCAAATATGTCTCAGACACGGGATGAAGTTTTAATTACCCATGATTTGCAAAATGATGGAGGAACACAAATATCACCATTGATTATGCCAAACCTGACTCAGACACGTGATGAAATGTCCAGTAATCGCAATTCGCCTATTGCTGGAAGTAGTAATGCATTTGAGGTACTTTTCAACACTGTTTTATCTTAATGTTCATAATTTCAACGCTGTTTTATCTTAATGTTCATAAGGTATTATAAACTGTTTAAGAAAGTAGATCCATATAATTTTATAGCAAGGAACACAATTTCTCCCTGAGACTGAATGGAACAATATTCAGAGATTGATGAATTATCAGGAATACGACATAATCATATAAGAGATAGTTTTATTTCTCCTTCAAGTGGTCTTGTTAGTAATAAGGTACATATAACTTTTGGAGTATAATCAATATCTTAATGAGTTATAAATTCCTTTTTTAACTCTTTTTTTTAATGTTCATGTTTCATTTTTTTGTCTTTAGAGAGGATTGAACTTGATGGGTCCTGTTGTAGATGGATCTGAAAGGTCCAAATTGTCATATTTTTCTAGCAGATGCGGTAAACAAGTTTTGGGAGAAGAGTTACATTCTTTTTCAGAGATCTCGTCGTCAACTTGTGCTACAAATTAATGTGATGACACTGATGATTTGTTTTGCGGGAAGTTATTTAAGGACAAAAAGGAAATGAACACGAAGTTGAAGTCACTTGCAGTTAGTCAAAGCTTTGTTATGTTCTTACTTGTGTGGAAGAAAAATGTAGCTGGAGTTTTCGTGCAAAATCAGTGAAAGGATGTCAGATGTTTATTGTGCGTCATTATGTATCTAAACATCCATGTGACACTTCTCTGAGAAGTGTTAAACATCGGCAAGCTACTGCAAAACTGTTGGGAAGTATGGTCAGCAATCATTATGAAGGAGGAAAGATTGGGCTGAAACCAAAACAGATCATAGAGAAGGCTAGAAAAGATCATGTTGTTTTGATTTCATATTCAAAGGCTTGGAGGTGTCAAGAGAATGCCCAAGATCTATCTAGGGGTACTCCGTATGACAGTTATGAAGCTTTGCCCAGCTTGTTTCACATGTTAAAAGATAAGAATCCAGGTTTTGTGACTTTTATCGATGTTGATTTTGTTGGGTAATTCAAATATGTATTTATGGTCCATTTATCAGAGGGTTTAAGTTGATGAGGAACGTGATTTCTATTGATGGTGCCCATATGAAATCAAAGTATAAAGAGTGGTAATTTCCATTTATATATCCTATAGCTTTTGCTATAGTTGATTATGAGAATGTAGCCTCATGGAGTTAGTTTATGATGTGTTTGAAAACCATCATTCCTGATGAAGAGGATTTGTTTTTTGTCTCTGACCGTGCTCAATCTATTGAAATTTCTATTTCAAAACACTATCGCCTTGCTCATCATGGAATTTGCATCTTCCACTTAAAAAAAAATGTCCTCAACAAGTTCAAGAGTTCAACCCTTACCCCATTGATTGTATAGGCTGCTTATGCATACATCAAGGAGGATTTTCATTATTATTTTAATGAGATTCAGCAGGCAGACTCTGAAGTAGCAGGCTATCTTCGTAAAGCAGACTTCAAGAAGTGGTCACGAGCATATTCTTTTGCTAATTGCTACAACATCATGACATCAAACTTGGCTGAATCCATTAATGCTTTGCTGAAAGTTAATCGTGAGTATCCGATTTTTGAATCTATTAGGGTAATTATGACTAGGTGGTTCACTGAACAGGGTGAGCAAGGAAATCGTCATATCCACCCTGTCACTTATGATAAAAAGTGTTGTTGGCTCGAAGTCTTTAAAATCAATGATTCAGAATTTGAAGTAAATGGAGATACAAGAGATCAAGTGGTGAATTTTCAAACAAGGCATCGTTCTTGCTTTGTGTTTGATGTTGAGAAGTTTCCTTGTGCTCATGCTATTGCGGCTGCAAAATCTGTAAATAAGCATGAAATGATTATGTCGATGAGTTTTTCTCAAATGAAAGATTCATTTTTCTCATTCACTGTTTATAAAACTTATCAAATTATAAGGTTTTATAAAACTTTTATCTATTCTTTTAATTTTATTATTAGGTTTACACTAGCATATTCAGAGAGTATATATCCAGTTGGTGATAAAGCATATTGAGATATTCCTTCCCATATAGATTCTACGGTTTGTCGTCCTCCATCTACTCGCTATCCTAGTGGCAGGAGGAAAAAAAAGAGGATTCCAAGTTCGTGGGAGCATGGAAAATATCTGTCAACATCTAAATCAACATCTTACAAATGTAGCAGATGTGGGCAGAAAGGTTACAACAAGAGTAGTTGTGTAGTGCCAATTTGATAATAAGAGTAGTATAAATACTTGTGTTATGAGTCTTTTCATGCCTTTATAATACAAAGATTTCTGATTCATTTTTATTTAAATTTTTTTATCCATGACTTTATTGTTGACATGAAGGAAATACTAAGATAAGAAGAGATGACCATTGGTACGAGCGTGACCATGAAGAGCTTGACCATATGGTCAACTACAAATAAGATGACCATTGGTGCAAGCGTGACCATGAGGAGCTTGACCAAATGGTCAACCTCAAATACGATGACCATGGGTGCAAAGCGTGACCATGAGGAGCTTGACCAAATGGTCAACCTCAAATACGA